GGAGTAAGGAGATAGGTCTGAAATTATTGAAGTTGGTAGGGTCCAGTGAAGGTTTTTTGGGTATTGGGGTGACTAGTGCATGTTTGAGAGGGGTAGGAAAGATTCCAGTAGAGAGGGAGAGATTGAAAATGTGGGTAAGAGAGTCTAGGATAGAGCAAGAGGGTGACCGAAGTAGTTTTGAGGGAACAGGGTCTAGGGGGCAAGTGGTGAGGTGGGTGGCAGAGAGAAGCTTAGTAACCTCCTCTGTGATGACAGGGTCAAAAGAGGAAAGTAACAAGTGTGATGGAGGATCAGGTACTATAATAAAAGGAGCAGTTGATTGGACAGTGGCGATCTGATCTCAAATAGCATCTATTTTGTTTTTGAAATGAATGGCAACGTCCTGGGCAGTGAGTGAGTTAGTGGGTGGTGGTGGTAGAGGACATAGTAGAGACTTGAAGGCAGAAAAGAGTTGACAAGGTTTGGATGAGAGTGTGTTAATGAGAGTGACAAAGTAAGTTTGTTTGGCAGCACGGAGGGAGGAGTTATATTTTATCAGGGCAGCTTTGTATTGGCACCGATACCAGTATCGGTGCATCCCTAGTTTACACCTGCACATATTGCAGCAAATACTTCTGTGTTATTGAAAGCAGTGAAAGGGTATCGAGGAAGTCTCAATTATAGCAAACCTGGGTCCCCTTTACAATTTTGTAGAAGTTAGATTAGGAGTTACTGCACTTCAGCTTAAATTGTATCTTCACTTTTTCAGACAAATTGGGATAACACCTATTTTATATTTGGTACATGTTTCTCAGTCACATGGTATACCTTTACAAAATTAAATAGCTGGTTGCAAAAACCACGATTAATTCTGAAAGAAAAGTTGTTCTTTGTACGGAATTTCTCTCTGGAATGCAAGGGGAGGGCAATATTTACAGTAACTAACCCTGTCTGTACTGTTCTGGCAGATCTCATTATCAGATGTAAACTAGATTTGAACACTGTCTGCCCTAACAAAGGGATCAACATCTACAAGCATTGTATATTAATGAGGGGGATATCCATCTGACCTTACTCGGACAGGCAGCTGCAAAGTCCTGCTACTCAGAGACATCTAGAAGGGTAAGGTCATATTTTTAGATATGCTGTGTGAATAGGAATACATAAAACATACTGGCCTTTGCTCAATTTTGACTGCAAAAGTGGAGATTCACTTTAAGGAAGAAATCCATGTAAGTGCTAATATGCACCGCACTGATCCTAATGCACAAGGCCATATGAAGTAAGGGCATCATTTTAACAAAATAAGGGGCCTATGAGAAAGCATCTATGAACAAAGTTACATACTGTAGTAGGTAAGGTTGAAGACACAGATGCGCCCAGTTTAACCTAAAGTATGTATGTGTCTGTATATACTTGGCTCTAGTTCTTCCCATATCCTTGTATATTTACTGATCTAAGAAACGCATTTAAAAAAAAAAAAGATAACTATGCTATCAGCAGATACTACGGACTGTGGAAGGGAATTCCACATTTTTACTACTCACAGTTTAAAAAACAAAACAAAAAAAACCTTTGTGCGGTCTTAAGGTGCCCATATACCTTAGGCATATCGGCCGATTTTTGCTTGCGATCGCATTTTCATCCGATATTCGTAAGGTTGATGGGCAGTCTACAACCACAAATACTGTACAATCGATCGACTTGACTAACCAGCAGGTTAGAAAACTTTGGTCGATCGTACGATTTTCGCAAGGTTGGTTTCCATACGTCAAAATTTGTATGTTCTACACTGCACATGCGCAGACGAAAATACGTGCAGTTGATTACCGCAATTCCTCCAGGTGCTTTCTTTTAATTACCGCTGATCCAACCTTGCGATAATCGGGGCAGGACGGGGCCGCCGTACAAAAATCGTATGACGGTTCGATCTTCGGACGAAAAGTGTTGTCCGATGATCGCAAGGTGTATGGGCAGCCTAAGATTAAACTGCCCCGCTTCTTACCACTTGTTGTGTCCTTGTGTCATCAAGAGTTCTTGGTGTAAACAACTTATTCTGAAAATAGTGCTCCCCATTAATGACTGACAATTACAGTTAGGTCCCCTCTTAGGCCCCTTCCTTTTCCAAGGAAAACAAGTTTAATTTTTGGAAGCGATGTTTATAACTCAGGCCTTCCATCCCCTTTATTCATTTTGTAGCCTTTGACTAAACCCTCTCAAGTTCGAGGACAATCTTTCCTGAGGGTTGGTGACCAAAAGTGAACCGCATACTCACTGTGAGGCCACACCAGTGATTTGTAAAGTGGTACAATTATGTTTTTATGCCTTGCTAAAATCCCACTTTAAATGCAGTATAGCAGGGGTGCCCACAATTTTTTGTGTTAAGATCTACTTTTCAAATGACGAGCTACATGAGATCTACCAACGAAAAAAAAAAAAAAAACTCCCTCTCTCCTGGCTGTCTCTCCTCTCTCTCTCCTGGCTGTCTCTCCCGGCTCACCTTGCTGTATTTTGCAAACAGTGCAGTACAACAGGCTGTGTAAACTAATATTCTTTGATGTAATACATAGCACTTCAACCACCAGAAAGGTGTCAGGGAGCTTGGCTCAGCAGACTCAGGCTAATAGGTAATCCTGTGTGCACAGCTAACTAAATATACCAAAATTGAATAAAGGGGCCGCCATTCGCACCCTTCGTGATCTACCAGCATCGGGTTTGAGAGCTACCGGTAAATCATGATCTACCTAATGGGCACCCCTGCAGTATAGTATCTTGCTTGCTTTGCTGGCCACTTTTCGGAATTGCATACTATTGCTGAATCTGTGAAGGGTTGGTATGTAACAGAGAATAGACAATTTTCTAAAATAATTTATTGTTGCCCAAATATTCCAGAATGTGTTTCCAATACCCTATATTGAAATATGGTGTAAAATTAGGAGTGCAAACAATTCTACAAGGTATATCCCCTTACAGAGACAGAAATAAATACACATTTCACTGAACAACAACAGGTCCTCGACAATTTGATACATGACCAGATTTAAACTCAAACACTATCAATGGTATGGAGAGACATAAGACAACAGATACTGTTGGTCATACTGCCACCTATAGGAGGAAGGAGGATTTGAACACTGCCAAACAAACAGAATGTGTAGGCCAACCAAAGATAACCCCTTCTCTCTCCAGCATGCATCATTTGTCGCAAATGGGTGTCACCCATGTCTCTCAATGGACCCAAAGAAAAGGATATAACAGTACATACAAAAATCATGTTTTCTCTTTCTTATACATTTAAGGGCAAAGGAAGCCGAATACTTTTGGGACATCCAAAAGCAGTCCAATTGAGTAGTGGGCAACAAGCTAACAGACCCTACAAAAACAAAACTGGGGACTGCCTGCACCCCCAAAACCACCTGAAAGAGCAGTGTCTGAAACGAACACCTAACCCCCTCTGTCTGATAGGGGAACCTGCAAACACAATCAGAGGGAAGAAATGGAGAATCAACCTGGTGCCAAGACCAAGAAGAAATGGTTGCCAACCAGGGAGGAGTGACATCTCCGAAGGATCACCAAACCAGAGGCCAATCTAGAAGCTGGACAACCTGAACCACCAAGGGATGTAGTGATAACTAATTCCTGTTTAGAAAGTAAAAGAACCAATAACCAAAATGGTTAACAATTAAAAAGGGAACAAGTCACTGCAAGAAACAAGTATACACAATAACCTCGCCCAGGAAAAACCCTGCAATAATTATAACTACAATTATTATTGCAATGGGTGTAAAAATGACTCCCAAGTGCAGAAAACCGAAGAATAGATCCTACAAAGTCAGCATGACTGAAGCAGGGGGGGTGGAAGGGGTTTTTCATACTAGGGAGTGTTCTCTTCCTGGGGGAAGTCTAATCATCCCACAGTTCGAAAGAGAGGGTTCATATCCGTTAGGACAAAAAGTGCCACCAAAGCTAGACCCAGATAACCTGGTAGGTCAGGGAGGCTTTCTGAAGAGGCATAACACTGTGGGGTAGTAGGTGCCACTAATAACCTTACCAGCCCCAAAGGGAAACACAGCTCCAGAGGCTGAGCCGACACAGGAACTAAAGCCACATTCAGGAATTGGTAAGTTGTAATTTTAGCATCACAGACCTATATACCCACATTGTCGGGCCTCGCAGGTTCCCTTTCTCAAGCCAAGAGTGCTGCCTTGAGAAAAGGACCCTGCAAGGCCCTGAAACTTCGATACAAATGTCTGTTGATGCTGTTTTTCCCCTGTACTGAAAGCAAACCTAGGAATGCCACTGCTGATGTCCTAAAAATACTAGCTCCTTGGCTGTCACTAGCTTCACTGATCCAGAACAAGCATATTAAAGCCCCTGGATCAGCAAGAGAATCAGGCAATTCATATGTTTAGGAGGGGACAGAAATAGAAGCCTCTTTATTCACTTTCTTCATGTAAAACTTTATCAAGTTTTACCCAAAGAACGTCAGAATCAAAAGAGTAGGATGAGGTGTAATGGTGTGCTGTACGCTCTCTTCCATGCCTTTGCTTAAGAGATGCATAGGTTGGGTCCTTGCACACATCTCTCCTCTGCATGCAGCTACCCAGTGCGTAGACTATGAGGCCAAGTAGCAAAGCAGAAGACAGAGGTACAAGAACCTACCCCACCCAATTTACAGATCTTAGGAACTTTGGGTTCTTGCTCATCTTAGCTACACAAACCAGAAGATATGCATTAAAATGATAACCCCTGTAACCAATTATTTCTTATAATCTCACTTAAAAGAAAGCATTGGTATTATTAAAAAGAAAAAAAAAAAAGTTGGATCCACACAAATATACCATTTCAAACCTCTTAATAACTCACTTGCAAGACCTGTGTAAATATTCGTTAAAATACACATTGATTTATTTATGTATTTTATCTTCAACATACTTTTTCAGATGTTTAGTCCTTTATATGACTGCATTCTTGAAAAAGTTCCAGAGATCCTGCAAAAGCCATTGGCTAGGGAATAGCAGACAGGACTGCACTTAGTGTTGAAGGGAATATCCTCTGCCCTTGATTTTTGCACAGAAAGCTTATAGAGCCTCCAGACAAACTCCATCTGTTTAGGGGAAATAAGTTTCTTAGAAGCAGGAAAGAGAAATTGTTTCCTGCAAAGACATAAAGGCTGGTTGTATCCACCATTTCTTCAAGAACATGTGATTGGCCCCAAAGCATGGAAGTAGGTAAAGTATTCCCATCCATTATAGTCTTCAGTCTTTTTCGCATAATAATATGTACATAATAGTCAGTAAAAATGCATCTCTTGGATATTGGCTTGATCCATTGGAGTTGTATGTTATTTTCCTTAAGATCCAACATGAACCGATGTGTAAGGGATCAAGGGTTATTTTACAGTTGCAAGTGTCCCTTGATTTCGTGCGGCAACCCAAGCCATGAAGGCGTCTCTGTTAAAATAAATGCCAAATATCAACAAATCAATACAAATACAAGATGTAGCATTTTGCCAAATGATAACATACTAGCGTTTCACCGTAAGGCCTCATTCACATTGCATAAATTCAGGCCGTACACATTTGTGCAGGGTGCACGCCCGTATCGGGCCGTGCCCGGGAAGGACAGGTACTGCGAGTGATTGCACGCAGCAGCCTGTTCTTCCCTATGGGAGGATGTGGCCGTACGCTGTCATACGCACACCCAAACTGCAGATCCGTGCTCAGACAAAGACGGGATCCATGCTGTCTGCCTCCGAGTGCGGAAACTCTGACCAGCACAGATGTACAGTTCGGGTTTTCATGCGGTTGCGTCCTCCCATAGGGAAGAACAGGCTGCTGCACGCAGCACCTGTCCCTCCTGGAAACGGGTGTGCACACTGCGCGGACGTGAACAGCTCGAGTTTACGCAGTGTGAATGAGGCCTAAAACTACACTGCCATTTCTGGCACATTTTATACAGATTTTGCTTCTTTCACTACACATAGAGGTTAGTGTAGCCATAAAATTAATATTGAAGGAAAAACAAACACAGAATTCCCTCACACCCACATTGTGTTGAAAAGATATGCACTGTGGGGAGACGGGTGTCATTTCATAGTTACATACGGTAGTATTTGAGGTTGAATAAAGACATAAGTCCATCAAGTCCAACCTATTGTGTGTATGCATTTATGTTTGAGCTGGAGTGTGCGTGTGTACGAGTCCAGGTGTGATTTAGCTCTTAGGCGTACTTGTACCCCTGTATTTTATGGTCTCCGAGGAACTCGTCCAGGAGCTTCTTGAATGATTCCACGCCCTTAGCTGAAATCACTTCCTATTACACCATACATGAAGTACCAGGGCAGCTAAAAGTGCTAACTCACTTTACTACCTGTGGTGAGGAAAGAGGTTTGCTTTTGTGATTGGCAACCTCTCCTAAAAATGATATTGCATTTCAAACTGATCTAATGTCTGTGACATTTCAAATCCATGACCAAGAACAAGCATGCAGATCAGGGGTTCTGACTGCACTTGTTGCATAGTTCTTAAGGGTCAAGGACAGAAGCCAGAATCAATCACGCAACTACCATTAAGGAGCTCAAGCAGTGGCGACCTATCGATTTCTATGAATCCGTTTTATGTAACTTTAAGCCAAAAGAACAAAGTCAGTGCATTGTGTCACTCACCTGCAGTGTTTGACCACACATTCATTGCTACAGTACTCATTGTCCCAATCTTTGCTTTCCACAGGGGAATTCTCACATCCAGAACGCACACACCGAGGCTGGGGAGATGGGCTGCGGGGTGGAGAGCCACTTACCAGCTGAACATCCATTTGTGGCGGAGAAGACTCCTACACAGGAGAGCGATTGTTCAGATGAAATGATGTACAAAATACAGAGCTTTCAGTAATATTCCTGCAGCAATTAGGACTCGGATATGTAAAATAACTATATTCTATTACCTATGCAACCAACATGACCTCAACACCATAATCTATCAGGCATGCATACATACATACATACATACATACATACACACACAGTATATATAACATTTACAAACAGGGATTTATAAAATATGGAGGAAATGGGTGCAGATCAATCACACAATCTGAATAGCTACCACGAGCCCTACACTTTGTGTGAATTGTCTGTAAATATTTTCATGCATCTCTT